TGACATATAACCATTATTAAAGTATCTTTTAAGACAAAATGTCAAAATAAAAATTTAAGCGTTTTAATTATGCCTTGATTGATTGTTGCAAAACTTTGTTACAATACAAGCAGCAGAATAATTCTTCCTGCAGTGCACCAAATAAAGGGTCACAAACATGTCGGGTCCAACTTCCATTTCAGCGTAAATTGTTCTTGTCAGTATCATATTAATTGATTATAGATAGTATTTGATGTTTTTATGCAATTTAACTGTTAGAGTTTGTTGTTATACACGGTGCGAATTGCGTTAACCTATTAACCCAGTTCGATAAATCCATCCAAGGCTGACTTGAGCACATCGCCGTCGTCAATAAACGAGATCATTGGGCACAGAAACGCCATTTTTCATGTTATACGTTTAACTTTTAAACAAAAACATCCAATAAAAAGGCTTTTGTGCAAGGTAAAAGATTTGCTGAATTTGAATAAGGATCTAGCATTAACATTTTATTGATTGGTCAATTTATTGTCAAATATTGGTTCTAATAATATTTTTTTTTGTCTTTTTTCGATAAAAAAAAGAGACAGCCTTGTGTCTGTTTGCCGTCAATATGTTTATTTTTGCAGCGTTGAAATGTCAAATTACTTTCTCTATTGTCAATTATCGGTGCTAATAGAGATTTCCTTCGCCCAAAACTAAAAATAGACAACCTTGCAGTGTTGCCAATGTACGTGGAAATCCACGCATTGTGTGGAATTTATTTTGTTGTGTGTAATTTGTGTGTAATACATAAATGTGTGGAATTTGCGTGTAAACTTTATCTTTAAATTAACAATGCTTATAACAAGCATTTAAATAGATATATTTGCAAATGCGCATTTTAGTTATTTCTGTGCAGATTTCTATATATACAGCAAATTAAAAAAATCTGGTGTTTTTGGAAACTTGCAAGCGTAAGTTATCAAGTAACTTAAAACTGGTTATAACAATAGACTTTTTGACAAAGTAAGTAATCTAGTAAGTTTTTGAAAACGTCTTTAAGTAATCAACAGTAATTACCACAGAAAGAGTTTTTGTGGTGATTCACCTCAGAAACTCTTTCTGCAGTAATCACCAAAGAAACCTAACAAAACCAAAATCCCAAATGGGTGGAAAAGTTGGCAAAATTGTGGAATTTTGACAGAATTTGTGTGAATTATGTCAACACCATTGGCAACACTGCAACCTTGTGTCTGTTTGCCGTCAATATTTTTTTCCTTGCAGAAGTTTCTAATAATATTTTTTTTTGTCTTTTTTCGATAAAAAAAAAGAGACAGCCTTGTGTCTGTTTTCCGTCAATATGTTTATTTTTGCAGCGTTGAAATGTCAAATTACTTTCTCTATTGTCAATTATCGGTGCTAATAGAGATTTCCTTCGCCCAAAACTAAAAATAGACAGCCTTGTGTCTGTTTGCCGTCAATATTTTTTTCCTTGCAAAAGTTTAATTAAAATGTCAAATTACTTTCTCTACTAAATTCATATCCTGGACCTTTCACTCAAATTTAAATGAAACATGGCATTTCTCGTTTCTTGCGACGTCTTTTTTGTTACAAATAAAGTACCGTTAAGGTATCACTCTTGAAGTTATAAAATTAATTATGCAAAGCTAGATTATACAACGTTATGGTTTCAAGGTGAAAGTTTTTGTATTTGATAGAAACAGTCGAATTCTTTGAATGCTTCGGTGGCATTCTACCTGCCCCCTCCCAGCAATCACTCCTAATTTGTCTATTGTTATTGTTATCTATTGTTTCCAAATATTGACAATCTGCGAAAAAAAAATTAATTTGTTAAATGAATCATGAAAATATTGCAATACTAGGCGCAAATTCGTCGAATGTGGGTCAGATAAGTAAGGCACTGAAAAAAAACTGGTACGCAAAGTTACGACATTGGTAATGCAACTAGCTAGACAATAGACCAATCAGGTGCAAGAATTCTTCAATTTTTATTCACCGAAAGGAACAAAGTAATTATCTAATCTAATTTTTTAATTCTTTTACTTTTTATTCCCATTTCTTAAGGTCCTTTTAGAAGTTTTTATAGTTAAGTTTAATTTTTTATTTGATAGTTTTGTAATATTCTCATCATACAATTTTTCTACATATTTTATTATATATTTATTAAAAAATTGAATTATTTTAAAATGATTTTTATCCTAACTAACCTAACTTAAAAAAAACTTTCACTTTCAATATTTTAGATTGCTATCATTTTAGCTTATCATTATTTTATCTTGTCGTAATTTTACGTTGTTAATATTTTGACTTATCATCATTTTAGTTTGTCTTCACTTTAGCTTGTCAATTTAGTCATTATATGTTTTTATTTAAATAGCTTAAAACTCCGTTCTCTAGTAAATATAAACGAAAATCATCTTGTCCCCATTTCTTGGTTTCTGGAATTGGCTCAAGAGCTTCTCGGGTATTGAATTTCAAAATCTTCTAGATGCAACATAGCGAAACAATAGCGCAACGTGGGCACAGGCAACTTGTCGACGGCTATGTAATGGAGTAATGTAAATATTATTAAACGGTATATCCTACTTTCACTCTTTTGCCGCGGAACGTCTTTGCCAAAGCACACGAGAACCGACGTTGCCACGCCTCCAACCTAACGGAAACTGACAGCCAATTTGGGTCAAAGTTACATAATTAAAAAGCAAATATTTTTAAACCACTTTTATGTCCCATGCTTTAAAAGCCTTAAGGAGCAGTTTACATTTTGATGTTTTAATTATATTATGTTTTTTCCTAACCAACTAGAAAAAAGTTTTATGCTGTAACTCTTTGAAAAATCAAGATTTTTTTCTGGATATCGTTTACGCCATGTTTGGCAACCGCGCTTGGCCCCCTCTTTCTTGATTTAAGTTCCGCTTGCCGGTCGGTACGACATGGCATCCGCCGTGACCCACTTGAAGCAGTTTTTATTTTTTTCACACACGCGTTGTCGCATTCTTTTTAACTGTATTTAAATTTTTTACTGTTACTAACATGGTTCTGCTTTTTTGGCAGCAAAATTTGGAAACTTCTCCCACTGGAAGTTGTTAAGATTTAATGGGGCCAACATCATATTTTTTAAAAATATTTTGGATATCGTTGATTTCAAAAAAAATATAATACACATTTTAACTATAATATAACTGGACCTTATAACTTAATGAATATCCAAAATATTTATTGTTGTTGGATTGCTCATTGTATTCTAACATTGTTTCTGCATACATTAACAACATTTCTAAAGCATTATATTAATCTGCATGATTTGATATTTAAGATTTCTTAAGTCATTTAAATGATTGTAGTTTTCGTTAATTATAACGAATTATGTCGTCCATCAGCTCTTCTTCTCTATTGTTTATGCCTGGGACACATTAAAGAATATCCTGCAAATATTTTCATAATTTCATACATATTTATAGAAGTTTTTCGTACAAAAGTAGAACGAAACATTTCTTGAATAACAATTAAAACATGATAATTTTGAAATACTTATTTAATTATTAAGCCAGCTGTAATAATACAAATTTTAAGTAAATAGTATTGAAATTAGAATTTTTAATAGCAGCGACCTTTATATCAAAATTACGACTTGTAGTAGGGACTGAATCGGCACGTGTTGTAATTAACTATTTTTAGTTTATTCTACTGTAATTTATTATTCATTAGCGCTTAAATTTAAATTTAAAAACATTAGAAAACCAAAATATTTGTCAATGTAAACCACCTTAATTTCCATGAACAAATTTTGCCTGTATATTTTAAACAATCGGCTAGACACATAAAAAATTGTCTTTTAAAAACATTCTTGTGTACTACCATTCTGTCTTGTCTATGTGTAATGTAATGTAATGATGTTTAGTAATACAGCATTGCGGTAAAATAATATGTTGTTATTGCCTTTGGTATACATTCTAAGTTCCGTAACTGTGTCAAATTAGGAAAAACTTTCTCGTTTTTAAACAATAAATAGATGATATCCCTTGCTTTATAATCGCAAGTTTTTTATTATGATTTCTCTCTCACTTTTGTAGGTAGTTAAAATATTTGGCTACTTTTCTAATGTTATGCAATGGCGTAAATTTATCAAGGATTTTCTAATAATAATAGTTGTCCTTCCCACGCGTTAATTGCACTGCAGTCTGGACCGACTCATGGAAGGTGGATTAAAACATAATTAGTTACTTATAAACAAACTAGCTGTCAACCCGCAGCTTCGCTCAAGTGGTACCTTAAATAAAAAATAATACAAACATTCAGTCAGTGTTTAGAATAAACTCCCTTAAGGGATAAAGGGTAACCTCTGAAAAGTTCTATACCTGCCAATTCGGAGCCCTTTCGAAGATTAGCCCGGGGAAACATTTTAACACTTCCTTTATATGTATAGATAGATAAATATTTATTCCTTTTGTAAATGGACTTTGTTCTGTATTAGCCGTTCCTAATTTATTATACATTATAAGAATATTTATTTCGATCAACATGTTTATTAAAGACGGTATTTTTTTAAAGTGATGCATTTATTATTTTTAACTGAAAAATCGTGTAAACATTTTTTTTATTTTATGTTGTAAAATATGTATTTTTATTACAATAACAACTTATAGCCAGGTTATTTTCATGTTGGCTAGGTCATGGTCTTAAATTTTTTTAAAGTCCAATAATATAAATACACGAATAGAAAATGTTTGTGAAAATTACAGAGAAATAATTAACCCATTTTCTTGAAGTAAAAGTGTTTTAAAATAAAACTTTCTTTGTTATAACCGAGTGTAGTATTACATTATTTTTATAACAATAGTAAACTTTTAAAGATCTGGGTATTAACAATGAAGCAATTAAAATTTTTTAACATTTTTTTTAATTTCCACGACAATTAAAAGCTTAAAATTATTGTAAAAAATTAAAGTAGTAATTGTTGTAATTTATACATTATTTTTATAATTTTTTTATGAAGTGTAATTAACTTTTTGTTTTAGGCTGTTGATTGGTGGTCAGTGGGAGTACTAACGTACGAATTATTGACTGGGGCTTCCCCATTTACGGTAGAGGGCGAGAGGAATACTCAGCAAGAAATTTCAAGGAGAATACTCAAAACCACACCTCCCATACCAGAAAGTAAGTAACACACAAATTACAAATTCTTACCATAGGTACCTTTTCGTTACATTGTTTTAATTGTCATTTATAAATTTTCAGGTTTGGGTAAAGATGTAGCCGATTTTATCAGTAAATTATTAGTAAAAGACCCAAGAAAAAGGTTGGGCGGTGGAAAGGAAGATGCCAAAGAACTAAAAAGACATTCGTTTTTCAAAAACCTCGACTGGAAGAAATTGGAACGTAAAGAAATTCCTGCACCCTTTAAACCGGTCATCAGAAACGAGCTTGATGTGTCCAACTTTAGCGAAGAGTTTACTGCGATGCCGCCCACCGACTCCCCTGCAGTGGTTCCTCCAAACTACGATAAAATCTTTAAAGGGTATTCTTACGTGGCTCCGTCGGTGCTTTTTTCGAAAAACGTCATATCCGAAGAATTCCTTAAACCCAACAAAGAACATGACAGCACTTCCCTATTAAATTGCAAACTAAACAACTCGCCGTTCTTCCAAGCGTACGAAATAGACTTGAACGAGGACATCCTAGGCGATGGCACATTTTCGGTGTGCAGGAGGTGCGTGCAAAAGAGCACGGGAAAGGAGTTTGCCGTAAAAATAGTCAGCAAATCGAGAGATTGCACGCAAGAAATCAATTTGTTGAGAGCTTGCCAAGGACACGAAAATGTCGTGAAGCTGCATACGTTCATACAGGACGATCATTTTAATTATTTGGTTTTGGAGTACCTGAAGGGAGGCGAACTATTCGATAGAATCAAAAAGAAATCAAAGTTCACCGAATGCGAGGCCTCGTCGATACTGAGAAAGCTCGTTAGAGCTGTCAGTTTCATGCATTCTCGCGGTGTAGTGCACAGGGATTTAAAGCCCGAAAATTTAGTCTTTACTTCGACCGATGACGACGCTGAAATAAAGATAATCGACTTTGGATTCGCCAGGTTGAAAATCGAGAAGGAGGCTCTGCACACGCCCTGCTACACGTTGCACTATGCCGCTCCCGAAGTATTAAAAGGCGACCCAGAAGGCTACGACGAAAACTGCGATCTCTGGAGTCTGGGCGTCGTCCTCTACACGATGCTCAGCGGCAAAGCGCCTTTCCACGCGAGATCGCAGGACGAGACCGTCTCCGCCATCATGGAGAGGATCAAGCAGGGCGACTTTAACCTCACTTCGCCAGCCTGGGAGGGCGTCAGCCGGGAAGCCAAAGACGTGGTGCAAGGTCTACTCACCGTGGATCCCAGTCAAAGATTGCGCATGAGCGACTTGGAGAGGAACTCCTGGGTACAGGGCAGCCAAAACCTGCCACAAACACCTCTTATGACGCCCGACGTGCTCACGGGCGGTCTGGCCGAAAGGAGCCTGAAAAACACGTTCGACGCCTTCCACAAGGCGCAGCGCGAAGGTTTCCGGCTGCAGGACGTTCTCAGTGCCAAATTGGCGCAGCGACGTCGACTGAAGAAAAGTTCCTCAGACAACAATAGCTCTTCTAGTTTTACGAGCGAAGGTTCCGGGAAAAGTGATCCCACAACGCCTGTGTCCTCCAAAGCCAAAATCACCTTGGACCAGAAAGAAGTCAAGGATACTGCGGCTATGTGCTTGGGCGATAATAAGGTAAGAATTTTTCCTATTTACCTTCGTCCATGTTGTCTCCATTATTCATTCGTTTATTTTCCTTTGGAAAATTGTATTTCCTGCTTGCTCCATAAGCTTAATAAATAATTTAAAAACAGTTTTTCTCATTACAGTAGTGTTCGTTAAACCCGAACCTGGTTATAGCAACGAATTCAAAAATTACGAATAAAGGCCTATTTGAAGTGTCTTAATTTTTTCGCAAATAATGAACCCGTTTATAACGAACTTTCGTATAGTATTATGTCAAAAGTTGTCCGTTAAAGGGAACCTATACCTGGGTAACAAGGATCGAATTGATTGAATTGATTTTAAACGCGGATCTAGTGCGGTGGCAGCCAACCACATATTAAATTTTAAAGAACTATATCGCGTTTATTTTCGCATGCTAGTGCTCCCTCTATTATAAGAAGATATAATTGCAGCCATTTTTACTCATTAATCATAACAATCCAAAATTCCCTAGATTTTAGTTTGTTAAGATTTTATTGGTTATGTGACAAAATTGTAAACAATACCTGCATTTTAAAATTTACAATCTATTTTTACATACAAAAATACATACAGGGTGTCCTAGAAGTCGCGCACCACATTGAGGTGAGGTTTATGTATGATCTACGGACCCTCAGAAATCCCAGAAAATTGTTGAAATAAATCTACCTTCGGTAAGATACAGGTAATACATAAATTTTTAAATAGCAACATTGCGTACTAATAAATTTGTAGATATATTCTTTATCATCATGACCATGATCATGACAAAAAAGTAAGTATTATTTACTAAAGGAATACATAAAGTTTGTTTTTTTTATTCGGAATTTGACAACGTCAAAAATTTGGGGGTTTAGTTGGCAAATTCCAGGAAACCTAAATTTAGTATTGGCTACATTTAGTAAAATTATTTAGCAGATTTATGCTGCTCAAACTAATTATTTTATCAAAATGCTGTTTTGTTTAAAAAAAAAATTCGCATTATTAACATTTAATGAAACTGTCAAAGTAAAATTAAGGCATTAAAGAATATATTTGAGGTAAACCTATTATTTTAAAGTTTAAAAACTCAATGTTTACGCTCTCATCTTTTAAATAATGAAAGACAATTTTTTTACAATTTTCTGGCATTCCTGGGGGTCTGTAGATCATCCATCTTAAAGGTAGGGCGATACTTCTGGGACATCCTGTATTTATTTTTTTACACATATGTTTTGAGGTTAACGAACAACTGGCAATTTTTATATTATTATTTTGTTAAAAAGCTATTATACTTTTAGGGAAGTAAAAATTACAGCAAAGACAAATGTTAAAAATCATTATTGGTTTTTTCGTAATCGAATTTTCACTTATAATACCACAAGAGCTTCAAAATTATCGGGTATTTTTCCCGATAGGTTCGTTGCAAACAAATGAAGGAGTCAAGTTTTTCAGGTTAAAAAATCACGAGCGCGAAGCGCGAGTGATTTTTCCTGAAAAACTTGACGACTTTATTTGTTTGCAGGGAACCTTGAGGGAAATGCCAGATAATTTTGAAGCTCGTGTGGTATTCGGGGGATTATTTTTCCGTCCCAAATGTCGGCCAATAGAATTACACCATGAGACGAAATGTACAGTTAACAAATAAGAATTTCATAATGAATAAAACAACATTTAATTAAGATTTAATTTGTTTTTTATATATAGCAACTACCAGAGAAAATTTTCAAAAAATTATCGCTGTAATTCGCTGTAGGTTCCCTCAACAACAATGCCTCAACAATGTCCCAACAATACAGAGAACTGTCAAAAAAAATAATCACTTATAATACCACAAGAGCTTCAAAATTATCGGGTATTTTTCCCGATAGGTTCGTTGCAAACAAATGAAGGAGTCAAGTTTTTCAGGTTAAAAAATCACGAGCGCGAAGCGCGAGTGATTTTTCCTGAAAAACTTGACGACTTTATTTGTTTGCAGGGAACCTTGAGGGAAATGCCAGATAATTTTGAAGCTCGTGTGGTATTCGGGGGATTGTTTTTCCGTCCCAAATGTCGGCCAATAGAATTGCACCATGTACAGTTAACAAATAAGAATTTCATAATGAATAAAACAACATTTAATTAATATTTAATTTGTTTTTTATATATAGCAACTACCAGAGAAAATTTTCAAAAAATTATCGCTGTAATTCGCTGTAGGTTCCCTCAACAACAATGCCTCAACAATGTCCCAACAATACAGAGAACTGTCAAAAAAAATAATCAGAGTAATTTTCTTACTATAGTATTTTATAATTTTAGGAGCGATTAGACAAAAATGTATTTATCAATTAGATGAAATTCTGCATTTAAAACCCTAAAATCGTTAGTTCGCCGTAACACGCGAGTGGAATCTCCTCTAGTCTAAAAACAAATTATAAACAGTTTAAGAACCGAAAAAATTATGGCGCAAGGAATTTAAAGTCAATTTTAATTTACATTTTTTTAACAGGCAGTTTTAACGTCACTTTTTTTCTTACACCATATAACACTGGACGTGTATACAAACACAATTTGTGGCTTCAGGATGTGTTTTGACAGTTGTTCGGTGTTTTGTATGGTTTTTAGTCGTTTTTTACGAATACAAAATGTGCATAGTTGTGATCACAATCCTTATAACAACATCCTTATTTAAAGAAGAAACCATTCGCCGATATTTTACACAACTAATTATATTGTTTAAAATGTAATGATTATGTCATACTTGTTTATTGTACAATTCTACATATCTTTTGTACGCATTGTATAATTGTTCTACAATGTTTACACTTTTAAACAAAGAAAACTGCAAACGTCCGTAACACTGATGCACTGAGACCCGAAACAATTTAAACAAAATGTTGCAACTACTTCCGATCATATAAAACGAATAATATTAAGCAGAATTTAATCACGTGGTCCCAACACGCCAATGCGAAAGCCTTTGATGGTTTTCGACCTTGGCGCATACCTGGGAGCTCCATTATTATACACTAGATGGCAGCAGGCGGACATCCATCAAGTGACGGTCGAAGAACCGATATTTTTCGATGAAATTATTATAATCATATTTCATTTCTTCCTTCTTGGGGGGTTTATCAAACCTGCAAACCTTAGGTAGAGCCGCTACTGACATTTAGTCATTGGTGTCCCTTGCAATTTATTTTAATATTAATTAAATATTGGATAAGTCCATAAAACATACTTTTTAAGTATAAATTTGAATTGTATCAATCCATAACAATTATAATATTTAAGTACTCAGTTAACACATTTTCTTAGATCTTGGATCCAAACCGACGCGATGCTTTTGATAAATTATGCGTCCAGTGTTATAAGGTCTAAGCTTTTTTCAATCTTAATTTAAAGCTAACTTCAGGCTGAAGTCTTCAGCCTGTGGGCGAAATGCTATTTCCTCAGTAGGGTCACGAAGTTCTCTCGGGTGTTGAATAAATAGTATTCCTTATTTTGCAATTTTTTGGCGTTATTATTGTTATCATGATAAAGACGTTTGTTTTATTTTAGGTTACCGAATACTTGCAGAGAATCAATCCAGATGTGATATCTCCCGACAATTCGGTGAGCGTGAGGAGTTCCAGTTCAGCGGTCAGGGAATCGACAGGATCGAGCGGAATAGCCGTGTCCGACAAGAGTTCCATAGACACGAAAACGGAAAGGAAGAAGAGGGAGAGGAAGGTGTACGTGCAAACTAGACAAAGTGAGAGAATAAGAAGGCAGCGGGTAGAGATCGACTTGGAACCGTTGTTCCCGCCGACCAGCAAGCGAAAAAGGAAATTCGAAGATACCCTTCTGGAACAAAACGTGGCGGACGCCGACACGCCGCAGACCAAGATTAGGAAAAAGGCCGCGGTGGCGCCAATTAGGAAAGCTCAAAGGAAGAAGGTGCCGCGGTAGGCCGGAACTGTTGTATGTGATTAGTAGCATTATTTATCAAATTAGTTTAAAGTGAATAATAAAGTAAAAGTGTACAGTGGCGCACGAAGTTCGTACTCGGCGATGGTGCGTGACCACCAATTAACTAAACGCGCACCGACCGAGGGCGGCTTTCGTGCCATTTTACAAATTTTCTGAATGTGATAAAGGTCTTACAGAATTTTTTGTTTGATTAAAGGGTATATATTTATTTTTTAAATGAGTAAAAGAGACACCCTTACAAATCAGCGCAAATTTTCCATTTTATAACACTGGTCAACAGCCATTTTGCCGCAGGGTGGCCAACTACATTTCTAGGGTAATTTGGGTGCGCTGATTCAAAAAATAACCTCAATTAGCCTTTGTTCTCGAGATATTATAAAAAACTGTTTTTTTTTCCATGTGCAAATATTTAATTTCGTAGGTATATATATTTTTGAAATAAAATTCTTTAACTATGAAGCTTTGAGTCCTAATTTAACTAAAAAAAAATTATACACGTTTATAATGTTAGTCCCATAAAAAAAACTATTTTTAACGAAATCACAATCCACACAACAAGGTCTGTTCGATCTCATACTAAAAATACTAAAAATCACTGCACACTGAACATAATTTAATGGCGGCCATTTTTGCTGTTTACAATTCTTGTGCTTTGGATTTGTAAAGATTAAAAATCGTTTTAAACGTTGTGTTTCTTACAGAGAGACTTGCAAGCCTTAAAAGAGACCTCAAAGTGGTTAGAACAATCATTTTACTCCTTTTTTGTAAAAAATAAACCTTATTCTATCAGGGCTGTCAAATGTCAATTTGAAGGTTAATTTGTGGGTTATAAAATAACCTTAAAATTAACATTTGACAGCCCTGATAGAATAAGGTTTTTTTTACAAAAGAGGAGTAAAATGATTGTTCTTACCACTTTGAGGTCTCTTTGTAAGAAACACAACGTTTAAAACGATTATTAATCTGTACAAACCCAAAGCACAAGAATTGTAAACAACAAAAATGGCCGCCATTAAATAATGTGTAGTGTTGCAGTGATTTTTAGTATTTTTAGTACGAGATCGAAAAGACCTTGTTGTGTGGATTGTGAACGAAATAAAAACGCTTTTTAATGAAAAATTTGACAATTTTTAAAGTTTAAAGTGCTGTTTCGCTGACCGATTTTAACATAATTTACTAAATCTTGTAGCTTCATTTTTCTAAATTAAATTAAAATTAAATTACAAAATTAAAATTACAACGCAATCAAATAAAAATTTACAAAATGGCACTCAAAACAACCGCGCGTGTCAAAATTTATATTTACAGTCATTTTCGCTTGTACGACTTAAGTCGTAAGAATTCTTGAAAAAATCCTGTAAACAAAAGTACCTCCCATCAACAATGGTCATGCCACACAAACTCTGGTATGTAATCATTACAAAAATGCACGTATTTTGTTTTAAACCTCATTGTCCTTAGGTCAAGTTCATTTTTGGTATTACAGTCAATTTCCTCCAAGTTGATTTGTCATTTTATATTTTGAACTGGAAATTATGAACCTATTTAAAACTACCTAATTAAAATGGGCTTAAGTTACATACAGGGTGCGCCAATGGAAAGTTTTCACCCCATTTGCATATAGAAACAAACGTTTTTCACAATATCTCGAAAACAAAGGCTGTTCATGTTCATTTTTGAAATCACCCCACCCAAATTACCTCGGAAAAGTTGTTGACTCCGGTGTGGCAAACAAAACATTTCATTTTGTCGACCAGTGTAATTGTCCGACTGCAAGTAATCTATTTTTGATGGTGGTGAAACAATAAGAATAAATAAAATTGGAAAATTGACGACTGCAATAGTATTGTTCCATTTATATGATCGGATTGTCATTATCAAGTGCACTTCTTAGACCGAAATTGAACATAAAAAACCGTTAACAAAATACCAAAAATTGTACATAAAAATTTTACGGATAAATTTTTTGTAAATGTACGTTTCTTGTTTATTCTTTAAGATTTAGATAATGTTGAAGCGTTATTATTTGTTGGGATGGTTGCAATTATATCATGTTTTATTAGCAAGGGGAAAACATAAGTAAAATTTGACATCACAAATTATCATCATGATTTTTAAATTAATTTTAAATAGGCACTATTTAACTTTGGTTTTTATTTATTATTTAAATAATTGGTGTATTGTAAATATGTTTACAAACCTTTACAAAAGTAATTATTTAAATGGGTGGGTTATAATTATTTGAAAGTTTTTTATCATTCATACTTATTTCAAATAAAAAAATCCCACAGTAAATATTATAGTCAATTAATTATTAAACTTATACAAAAAGCTTAACTTTTTCCCTTTTTTAAGTGTTGTTATAATAAGTTATAATAAAGCAACCAAACCTGAATAATGTTATAAAGAAGTTATTGGTATATTTAATTAAACACTTTTTTAATGTAACACAATTATGTTCTTGATAATTTTAATGTATTTCATTGCTAGGAAAATTGTTTCTTATGTAAAAGTTTTTTATGATGACCGGATTATAATTTTTGTTGGCAATTTGGACAAGTTATGACCATATCAAATTTTTACTTTAAATGTTTACATTGTTATTAAATTATTTTAATTAAAATTGAATAAGTGAACAAATGAAAATGTATGTATTAAGTACATTTCCAAGATAGTTTTTTAGAATTACCAAAATGTATATCAAAAATTATTTTTATGAAAAAATTAAATAAGCAAATGAAAAAATTAGATGGTTAAAATTTTTAATATATATTTATGCGAGATAAATTTGATAAAACCAATATTCGGGTAATAATAAAATAAGGAAAGCAACTCTACCTATATCTGTATAAATGTTTTGATAAACTGGTCTATTTTTAGTCATTGTATGTTCATTAGCTATGGGCTAGAATATTCAACTCTTATTTATATTAGTTTGTTTTTGTTTTGCACTCAGGTAAAAATTTTCATGAAATAATCACTTAATTGTAGTATTTTTATTTTATAATAATTACCTTATTAGTATGATAGTATTTGTTTATTTGTAAATGGCAGTTTTTATGAAAGAAGGGAATATTTATATAAAATTGATAGACCAAGTGGACAGTGCCTTGTACCTCTTCACTCTAGAGGCTGTCTTGCTTGTGGGCAACATACATATATATGTAATAAGCCTTAATTATTATGTTAGTATTAAATATTTTGATTCTTTAAAGTGATTTTTTATTTACGCCCTTTGTATTAATAATATCGTCAATTTGTTATAGGTAAGTTAAATCAGTATTCTGCTTTTTATTTTGACATTTGAATAAAACAACTATCATAATAATCAAGGGCTGATCCAATAAAAATATATTAAATATTACTTATGCACCATGACCATTTAATTTATATAATCACGATTAAAAAGTCGCCAGCAAATAACGATTTTAGACTACCTTAGAAACTTTTATACATTTGATATTGAAAGATTTTGATATAAAAATCTTGATTTTAATTTTTTACTCGTTAAAAAATATTTGGATTTCCCGCTTAGATCGGCCCCTTTTACAATTAATCTAGGAATACATCAATATTAAGGTATCAAGATTTTTAGATAGAACTTTTAATTTCTAATAATAACACTGGCCCACAAAATAAAAAAGTTTTGTGTAGGTACTAAAAAACAAACCATATTTATTGTATTTTTTTCCGCTGAACACTAAAGTCAGAATTGATTAAACTTCTAAGAAAAAATGTTTTTTGAATATATATTGAAAAGCTAACCAAAGAAAATAAAGAACTTAAAATAACGGTTAAAAATCCAACTAGCCGTCTAGACATAGTAGAACAACAGTTAAGACTCAATAATGTTGAAATACTGGGGGTCCCTGAAAAAATAACGAAAATATTATAAATTTGGTAAAACTCATTGGTGATAAAATTGAATTTTCACTAGATTAGTCTGATATAGACTACGCAAACAGGGTGTTATGTAATTAATGTTATATATTAAAATACTGAATACCTTTTGACATAAGGAATAAAGGAAAAATATTTAAAAAAACATTTTTCCAAACATAAAGAAAAAATATGCATTAGAAGTTTTTTATATTTTTTGTGATACGCCACTGGTTACACACTTGTTTATCTCTGCACACCTGTATTTTGTGAGTACATATATACCAACCAACAAAGTAGCTATGCGTTGCCAGATGTAAAAAATTGTTACTAAAAATTATTCTTGCAAAAAATAAATAAAAACTCAATAAATACAAAAGTTTTATGCCCTTAAAGCTCTAATACCCTTCTGTATTTATTTACTGATCCAGCTATTAGCTTAAGCAATGATTAGAAAATTTAGTACCTTTGAAATTTGAAATCCATAACCACAAAATTAATTTTTTCATCAGTTTTTTTCTCTGTTTACTCAGATGAAATTGGGACCAGTTCACAGGTTAAACTTTAGTTAAGATATTTACAATTTGAAAACATAACCTAAAATTTAAAAGAAATGCACTAGATTCTGTCATAAAAGTTGGCAGATTTTGTTTGAATTTACCTTCAGTACAAAAATGAAATATCCAACAATTAATAAAAACGCCAAATTGACAATTTGCATTGTTAATTTTGTCATTTTTGTAATAGACCTATTCCATAAAACGGACTTTTGGATAGCGCGTGCGTGAAAAGGCACGTCGTCTTTTTTTAATTATATAAAAGAGAAAGAGATACCACTCTTCTTCAGGCACGCGCTATCCAAAAGTCTGTTTTATGGGAAAGGTCTATTAAGCTAAATTTAAACAATGTTTGTTTTTTTGAGAGATTTTGGAAACACTGTTGTTACCAACCATAACATAATAAATCCACCAGATTAACCTAAAGTTCCTAGTCGATCAGTGGCGTACTTTTTGGTAGGATAAAGGTTATTAACTTTGGAATTTAGAAAAAAAAAGTTTCAGGTGCTTCTTTATGGACCCTAAGGAACAACCCATATTAATATATAACATTAATTACATAACACCCTGTATAGAGGTACAGTTCCTCAAAATTCAAAATAAATAAAACCAGTACCTAATTATAAAATTTTCAAGTAAAAAGAAACGTGATTCTTTTTTATCTTCATCTAAAAACGCTCGTTCAAAATCATAGAATGGAGGTGGTCTAATTTTGGAAAATATTGGTCAACACATTTATATTAATGAGCACCTAACTAAAGTATACCTATAGGTATACACTCTAAAATATTGTTAAATAAAACCAAAGAAAAGGCCAAAAATTCGGGGTATAAATATGTTTGGGTTCGCATGCGAACCCAAACATATTTATACCCCATTGCAATGGTACAATATTTACTAGAAAAGATGATAGATCCAGAATATTAAATATCTCAATAGAAGAGGATACAAATAAAATGCAATAACCGCTACTATTGTTCAAGAATACATACATATAAATATAAAAATACATACATATTAGGGGTTTCAATCCCGAGCCCATTTTCCAATCCCGGGCCTTTCGGGACCAAAGGTAACTAATCCCGGGATCCCGGGATCAGTCCCGAAAAAATATATGTCATTAATTTTAAAACCAATTTAAAATAAAACAACAAACTAACGAACGATATCTTTCGGATTTTACACTAGTCGGAAGAATGGTTTTCAAGAATTCCTGGGCACATTGTA